TAGGAATGTGAATGTGTTCATGCTTAAGCATATTTTGGTGAGTTGAACTATGGTTGTAGAAGTGTGGGTATCTACCATTATTGCTGAAATAGTTATGAATAGAATAGATGATTGGATCACCCATACCCTCTCTACAGAAATTCAGTTCTGGCGCAGATACATAGATGATATCTTCTGTATATGCAAAAAAAGGTCAAGAGAGCTTCATACTACTAACCCTTAATAATTACAATCAGGATATTTCCTTTACTCTAGAAACAGAAACTAACCTTGTTATCCCATTCCTAGATATTTTAATTATTCGCACCCCCATCCTCTTTACACACTACAGTTTATCATAAAAAAAACTATGCCCCCCTGTTACACTCACTACAATTCTCACTGTCCTGTCTCCCATAAAATCAATATTGTCAGAACCCTTACAAAAAGAATATACACCCATTGTTTCATAGACATCTTTAAAATAATAGAAAGAAATCGTATCATAACCCAGCTCTCCGCGGCTTCTTTTCCGCTCTCGTTCATTAATAAATATACTTATACACCTACAACTTCCAATCCTTCCATGACTTACAGATCATTGTGCTTTCTCCCTTACTCCCCCTCCTCAGTAGATATAGCCAGAAAACTTAGATCTTATGGCATCCGTACCATATATAAAAATCCCCCCAATCTTCTTTCATCCCTCCGTCATCCTCACACTAAGTCCTCAGCTCCTCCTGACCCTCTTCGTTCTATGGGCGCAGTCTACTCCGTCTCATGTGAACAGTGTCCTGCCACTTACGTTGGTGAGACGGGTAGATCTGTGGCCATCAGGATGACTGAACATTCCCGTAATATTTCCAGGCAAGATACAAAATCCTTCATTTATCAACACATGCAGAGCACAGGCCACACTTTCAACATCAAAAATACCACCATACATTACAGGCACATACATATCTTACACCAAAGACTTATCCTAGAATCTATAGTATCCCACAAACTGAACAGCAACAATAGAAAAATAGAGCTTCCAGAAGCTTATCATCCTCTCTTGTCCTTTATTTAACTAAGTTTAATATATTTAACTAAGATTACATATATAAATAGTTTATAATAGATATAAATTTAACATATTTAATTAAGATTTACATATAGTTTAAAAACTTTCCTTTTTGTATATATATATTCCTTCCTACCATTTGTACCATAGTTCTTATAAGTCGCGCTCGCCTGTTGAAGGGTTTTACCCGAAAGCTTGCACCTATTCGTCAATAAAAGAAACTCGTCTTCCTTCACCATGTTTTCGTCTAATTAATTTTATTTATCATCGCCAAATTGTTTTGTTTTTGAAACATATGCGTTTGTATTATTGCATTTCATTAATTTCTAATAAAATATATTTTGTTTTTCTAAAATTCAATCGTTGAATACTTCTATTATAATTTTAAGTATAGTTTTGTTATATATTGTCATATTTTTATTTTTTACAAGCAGAAAGTGCCAAAACTGTCAATATTTTGATTTATCTGTTATATGATTGATTATTATTCATTTTCCTTAAGCACAAAAACTGACAGGTACAAAGGTTGGACACATTGTATTGGTGCCAAAAATATATTTTGCTCCTTCAGATATCAGCCTTCCCTTCATTCTGAAGAGGCGTCAGTTTCCACTAAGGTTGGCTTTTGCCATGACTATAAATAAAGTCCAAGGCCAAACCTTTTCTAGAATGGGTCTCCTGCTACAAGAGCCTGTGTTTACGCATGGACAGTTCTATGTGGCTTTTTCACGTGTGCGAACTTTGAATAGCATACGCATTAAGTTGCACCGACGTATATATATAAAGCTATATATACTTCGGCTGTTTTTCTTTATGTCCAGTATTGAAGATAAACTCTTGGAAAAGGTATTTTAGTGAACTATGTACATAAGCTTTGAGCACAGTAGTTTTCTTTATATTTTTAAGAGCAGATGGCGAGGTTATGAATCTGTTTCTTTCTTTAATTATCCCTAGTACATATGCTACAGGCCAAGATAATCATGGTGGGTACTGTCTTGACTGTAAGTACACCACATGTCTACACATATGAAAAACAGTTCAACTTTTGTACTTACAAATGTGCAAAAATCCCCGTTTAAGATACTTGCACTTGCTGATGGGGTTGGACCTTTGCAAGAAACCGAGGCTATTGGAGCATTTATTTAATTTTTTAAAAGTGTCCGATATGGGATTCGATCCTGGGTCATAGCAGTGGAAAACCAACAGTTTAGACCACTACTCCAACGTGCCCCTTTGTATAAGGTTTAATATATATTTATAAAGGTGAATGATTCACTTTACTGTTTACATACTCTCCTTATTTATAACAAATATACAGGAATATAGACATAACATAAGCACGTGTATATTTCAGAATACGCCTTGTATCTGGTTTCTCTCTACGTTGTATTTTATACTTGAAAACACCTTTACATCAATTGGCTATTTGAAAGACAAAGTATTCCATTTTTATATGTAAAAATACATATACTGAATCAACATGTATTTAAACACACATAAAGCCTTTATTAAGACCCCATTGGTCTTAAACAGATTCTCCAGAGTGTAGACATCAATGATCAGGATGAGTGGAGTTTTACATGTTCAATATTGCAAGTGTGTAGTGCAAGTACAATAGTGCAAAAGAAGAAAAAAGGTTTTGAGTTCAACATGTATTTTTTGAATAAGATTAATTTTGTATTTCATAAATGTTTTTTTGTCGTTTAAAAGATATGGTAAGGATTCCCCTCTCTTTATTTTAACTTTGAAAAAAATTGATATCAACTATTATTGTAAAATATCTATTGTTTTTATATTTTAATTATATTGTGCGCTTCAAAAATAAACACATACAGCTATATTAAGACCATCGGTCTTATACAGATTCACCACAGGAAGGAAGCATAGATGGAGCTCCTATACTCCAAGCAACACAGAACCCAACAACAGCCTCCAGGTCCGACACATGTCCAGTGGCCACAGAATCCAACGTGTATAGGTTAGCGTATCACTGAATAGACGAGTGTGGAATCAGCCACGTTCTAGACTTCGCTTTCCTCATCCAAATGGACCACGACATTCAGTGATTCTATTAATATTCTTTTAAAATAAACAAAATGGCTTCTGTTTTGTTTATCAACAAGTAACTTGTTTTAGAACACACATACAATTATAATATGATACATTAGCGCGCCATCTGTTATGAAAATTCGAAACTATTATAGACCTGTATGATTCTTTTAAAAATTAAATAATTTTTACTGCCCTTACTGCAATAAAAAAATTAATGGGAGAACCTGGCTCATCAGTTGTGAACCCTCCCAGCGGTTTCGCCAGTTTAATCTACCATACCGCTGTTATATTGTATTTTTCGATCTTTCTTTTTATAGTGATACTGATGCTAGACTCTTGGAATGGGTATTTTAGATGAACTATGGACATTATATTTATAAACATATTTTGTTATAAACAAGAAACTCACCTTCGGAAGCTACAAGGTGCGTTCACTAATTTCCAGGACTGGTTAAAAAATAAAATAAATAAAAAAGCTAAAGAAAATTTTTTTATACAGAGGTAAATATTGGACATTCGACCACACCTGACTGAAAGGACGAGTCTCGTGGCGCACGCGCCGATCTAAAAATAGAACAAAACAACTTCCTTGTAAGGTTCGCATTTCTAATTTTAAAATGGCCATTTTCGAAGAGCAGAGAATCTGCATTAAGTTTTGTTTTAAATTGAAAAAATGCTACTGAGACGTATGAATTGATTAAAGAAGCTTTTGGCGATGCAGCTTTATCCCGTTCAAGAACTTTTGAATGGTTTTCACGCTTCCTAAAAGGTCGGGAAAAGGTAAACGATGATCAGCATACTGGGCGTCCAAGATCATTACGTTGCGAGGAAAACAAACTCAAAATAAAGGAATTAATTAAATCTAACAGAAGAATTTCTATTAAAGACTTATCTTCAGAGACTGGACTATCTGTAGGACTGTGTCATCAAATACTAACAAAAGATTTTGACATGATCCGGACGTCTTCAAAATTTGTTCCCCGGATTCTAACAGAGGAACAAAAGGAGGTTAGAATGGATGTCTGCAAAAACATGGTTGAAATGACTCGAACCTATCCTGAATGAATGCAAAAAATCATTACCGGGGATGAGACATGGGTGTATCAGTATGACCCGGAAACCAAACGTCAATCCAGCCAATGGATTGAAAATGGGGAACCGAAACCCAAAAAGGCAAGATTTACAAAATTCAAAGTCAAGATATTGCTTGTTACATTTTTTTATATTAATGGTTTGGTTCACCATGAATTTATTCCTTTCGGACGTACAATTAATCAAGAGGTTTATTTGGGGATAATGAGGCGCTTAAGGGAGGCAGTGCGCCTTAAAAGACCTGGAAGATGGAAAAACAAGGACTGGATACTTCACGTCGATAATGCGCGGCCGCACACAGCCCATGTTGTTTTGCAGTTCTTGTCCAAGCATTCAACCATACAGATCCCTCATCCACCCTATTCCCCGACTTAGCCCCCAATGACTTTTTCCTCTATCCTAAATTGAAAATGAAGTTAAAAGGAAGGAAATTTGACAACGTTGATATGATACGAGCTGAATCGAAGGCAACTTTGAGGAACCTCTCAAAAAGTGATTTTACCTCCTGCTTCGACAATTGGAAAAAAAGATGGAACAGGTGTATTGAGGCAGGAGGGGCATATTTTGAAAAATATTAGATTAGTTTTTTATTTGTTTTATTTTTTCAAAGATACAGAGCAGTCCTGGAAATTAATGAACGCACCTTGTATTTCATTTATTATTCATATGTATGTAGAACGACATTTGAAAATTATCCAGCATGCGTTTCTTTTGAACGAAAAATCGAAATTTATTTTAAGGAGAAATAACGATTATTTCTATCCTTAGGGATGAAGTATGAAAGGTTGAATTGTGAAGGGTAATGATAAACGCGGAAAAATATAGCCTAGTGGACATGGCATCTGCCCGGTAAGCGGAACACTGTGGGTTCGATTCCCATCCCTAAACACTTTATTTTTCCGTTTATCATTACTCTTCACAATTCATCCTTTCATACTTCATCCCTTAGGTTGGAAATAATCATTATTTCTCCTTAAAATAAATTTCGATTTTTCGTTCAAAAGAAACACATGCGGGATAATTTTCTAATGTCGTTTTGCAATCATAAGCCGCATTATATTGTATTATTGATATGTATATTGTAGACGATTCTACTTTTCCGAAAATATTGTTCTCTTCCATCTCCATTGGAAATAAGAATAGCTGAGACGGAATGTTTCATCAGTAGAGTGAACGTCCCAGAATTTCCAGTAGTGATATGAAATTTTAGTTTACATTTCTCAAAAACAGTTATATTTTCACATTATAGACAGATTTCAATCATATAGAGACCATTTTAAAATGTTTAACATTAATTTATTTTATCCCTATTGTAGAATACATTATGTAAAATTGAGTTAAAAAAGTAGAATTTTACTGGAATCACAGACACAACTTTATTAAGACCACCGGTCTTATACAGATACACCACAGGAAGGAAGCATAGATGGAGCTCCTATACTCCAGGCAGCACAGCACCCAACAACAGCTTCCAGGTCCGACACATGTCCAGTGGCCACACCGTACATAGGTTAACGTATTTTTCCTTTTTTAATATTGATAATCGACGTATATTTATTTCCTGTTTTAACATATCCTAAACGGTCTAAATCATTGTTCGATTTAGTATATTTTGCCAGAGTTTCTTTCATGGTCTTTTTCGCTATGTAACAATCATGATCAAACCATGGGTTCGACATTAGGTTATCTGTTTTTGTAATTGTACAGGAATCAGGTGTTGATAAAGCAAGACAGATGCTAGAGAGATATTCTTCTGGAATGTGGTATTGAAGGAACCTTTTAAGAATTCCTAGAATTTCCAAGATGTCTATTGAAAGAATTATCTTATACATAACCAACTACCTATTAACATGAGTGAAGTGGTTGTGGTGTCTTGTCCATGAAGCAGATCAGATCGGTCCATGCACCCTGATCACAATACCGGCCAACTGAGGTGGTGGTGTCTTGTCCATGGAGCAGATCGGTCCATGCACCCTGATCACAATACCGGCCAACTGAGGTGGTGGTGTCTTGTCCATGGAGCATATCAGATCTGTCCATGCACCCTGATCACAATACCGGCCAACTGAGGTGGTGGTGGTGGTGTCTTGTCCATGGAGCAGATCGGTCCATGCACCCTGATCACAATACCGGCCAACTGAGGTGGTGGTGGTGGTGGTGTCTTGTCCATGGAGCATATCAGATCTGTCCATGCACCCTGATCACAATACCGGCCAACTGAGCTGGTGGTGGTGTCTTGTCCATGGAGCAGATCAGATTGGTCCATGCACCCTGACAACAATACCGGCCAACAAAGGTGTCTTGTCTGTATGCATGTTCTCTTCTGGATTGATGTCTGCCATATAGAGGGCTGCAAGGATGGCCGGGTATATATGGTCCGGAGAGTTGGGTGTTGTAATAGTTATTGCAGTTCCTGTAGGATCTATTCATGTTTGAACATGAGTGATGTAAGATGTTTCAAATACTATATACGGTTTACTTGAGAAGACAAAGGATTGAAAACTAAATACTGCAGAGCTATAATACATACAATTTAAACTCCATTATCCAAATTTAATCAACGGTTAGTGAGAGGAAATTAATATTAGAGAATGAAATGATAAAATATACAAAAGATGATATAACTCGTACATGTTCACATAATCTTTATCAATTATTTTATAGTACAGTTAAACCTGTCTATAACGCCCCCTCTAAATAGCACCTCCCTCTCTATAGCGCCCGATTTTAAATACGTAGTACGATGCTATTTACATTAAAAGTGACCTGTCTATAGCATCCCCTCTCTATAGCACCCTATTTTGGTGAGTTCCAAGAGGGGGCGCTATAGACAGGTTTAACTGTGTATTGTAGGTTGTCCCAAAAGGTAGTGTTTTTCTTAAAACGTTGTTTTTCTTATTACTTGGTGAATAATATTATTACGGCGAATACACAATACAATTACTTTATAAATAATGCAAAGACATTCTATATACAGTTACGAGCGTCATTCCTCATCTCCTAATCAACTCTGTCACCGTTTGCTTTTTTTTTTTTTTTTTGGAATGGCGCCCTCCTATTGGTTGGCTACGATCACGCCACCTTTAAACCCCCACCCCTCATCATGCCTCCCCCAATCGCTTTTTCGTTTTTGTAACTATTGTGTTGGAGCGGGTCGCTCCTTAAATAAATGCATATATTAGTTAATAACTAAATGGAATCCTCTCTTTCTTTTTCCCAGTATGAGACGCCTACGGAAACCAACAGTACATAGACAGATAAAGCACATAGGCTATAGTTATTAACTAATATATGCATTTATTTAAGGCGCCAATTTATAATTGTAACAAATAGTATTTGAATAAAAACATTCAATCGGGTAAAACACGGGCGTTGACCGGGTCATTCGGCTAGTTATATATAACGGTGATTAATATTGGTATTTCAATTTTTTTTCAAGTGTTTACGAACTTTTGGGATAACCTTGTACTTTTCAAATCATGAATTATTTTCTATAAACTTCACTGCAATGAGGATTTATCTAATATGAAGAGTGTATTAGTAATGAGGAGAGTTGAGAGAGATGAAAGATTTGAAAAATACAAATAATTTCATGAAATGAGTTTCTTTTTATTACAAAGCGCTAGTTTTCAAGTGATAATCGCTCATCAACAGACTTAATAAAAGACATCGACTATATCTTACAAGAAATATTCACCTATTTATATATCTTTTTGAAAATAGAGCAATCCATACTTAGTTAATTAGATAATAAAAGGGATATATTAGATTTAATAAAAGATTTATTTTGCCATTATTTCGGCTGGCTGAACACCAACCTATAATAAAAATTATAACACTATGCGGCGCTGAGTTTGTATATACAAAAATGTAATGCCTCGATAAAGGTTGGCGTTCAACCAGCCAAAATATTAACAAAATAAATCTTTAATTAAATCCAATATATGTCTTTTATTATCTAATTTATCTATCTAAGTAGATATTTTTTGTAAGAAATAGTCCATTGTTTTAATAAAGTTCGTTGAAGTGCGATTATCATTTAAAATCTTGCATTTTAAAATAAAAAGATACTCATTTTGAGAAAATATTTGTATTTTTTAAACGTTTTTCAAAGTTTATATCTTGGATTGTGAATATAGGTGTATAACATATTTGCACACATTATTCCTGTAGGTGATCCAGTAACCCAGTAACCTTGAGCAGGAAGTCTCCTAGTTTCCAAACAGGCCCACTTCTATTTATACCACTACAAGCATCCGGGGGACACACCCGTTATGTAATCGATAGTTTGAAAGTGGCGTAATGAAGCGCGCGAGAGAGAGAAAAACTTGAAGACCTTGGGAACCTTTGTCACGAAACAACCTTGGCAAACTTCCTGGGCGTGTCCTGTCGACGCGGGTGTTGTTGTTATATCACAGTCAGCATGGCGGCTCGAAGGTAGGTTGGACTTGTCCTGTGACATTCCAAATGGTCACCTAGCACGGAAGCATGTCCTCTTTTACAGTTATTAATGTCCCAAAGTTTCCTTTTCCTTGAATTTTTTACTCCCCCTTTTATGTCCCATGGGTGGCTGTCCTGTGACATTCCAAATGGTCACCTAGCACGGAAGCATGTCCTCTTTTATAGCTATTAATGTCCCAAAATTATTTTTCCTTGAATTTTTGACTACTCCCTTTTGTCCCATGGGTAGACCTCCTGTGACATTCCTGTTACTAAATGGTCACCTAGCACGGTAGCATGTCCTCTCTCACAGTTATTAATGTCCAAAAGTTTCCTTTTCCTGAATATTTGGCTTCCTTTTTTTTTTGTCCCATGGGTGGAAGTCCTCTCTGACGGTTATTAAGGTCACAGAGTTACCTTTTCCTTGAATTTTTGACTACCCCCTTTTTGTCCCATGGGTAGACGTCCTATGACATTCCAAATGGTTACCTAATACGGCAGAATGTCCTCCTTCACAGTTATTAATGTCCCAAAGTTTCCTTTCCCTTTTATTTTTGTCTTTCTCTTTTTGTCCCATGGGTTGACGTCCTGCGACATTCCAAATGGTCACCTAGCACGGTAGCATGTCTTCTCTGACAGTTATTAATGTCCCAGAGTTGCCTTTCCTTGAATTTTTTACTCCCTTTTTAGTCCCATGGGTGTAATAGTCCAATAACTCAAACTTTTGTTGCATGCCATTTCCAGCCATTTTATTACCATCGTTATGAATGTCTTAAGTTTTATTATCCTTTTTTATTAGTAATTTGACATTGTGTGTGTTTTATTAGGCTTTCTTCGAGTTTTTATTAGATATTTTTGTATTATTTGTGTGTGTATGCAACAGATGTTCCTATAAATATTTAAAAATAACTTATGAATTAATGAATTTATTGGCTGGTGCTTTATTTGGAGTAAAAAAAGGATTTCTTTTGTCATCTACCCTAACTGCAATAGAAGCCAGCCTTTGTTTTAATATGTCAAAAAATAACTTAACATATTAGTTTTTGCGCTTCTATAATTAAAATTATTATAAATATTTCTGAACATCTCATTTTGTTCCAGTATTGTTCTCTTTATCTATAATTTATTAGAAAACTGTCAGCTGAAAAATCTTCGTTCATAATTATTTGTTTTTCAATTGAATGTAAAAGTATTCTAAATCTTTCAAATTTCTTTTGATAATATAATATTTATGTAATTAGTATAAATATTTGTTGGATATAAACACAAGGTAATAAGACTAAATCCAAATAAATAAATAGTGTGTGACATTTCGGTACCTTTGTCTAAAGATGGTAACAACGCTGTTACCGAAACTTCACACACTATTTATTTATTTGTATTTGGTCTTATTACTTTGTGTTTATAATTTATAATCCGAATTGTGCCTTTTTTGTTGGATAGATATTC